GAAAATAACACTCAGCCTTGCCCAACCGGCCATGTTTAATCCTCCCCGTGTGCTAACCTTTGTATCCCCCAGAGACTGACAAAGACTCCAAGTGCAAACTGCGTCCGCTTGGCTGAGAGGCTGGCCATCAGACAGAACTGTGCCTCTGAAGGACCCAGGGCTGTCTGTGCGAGCGCCAGAGCCACGCTGAGCACGGAGCCGCACTGCATATGCTGCGCTCAGGCTTGCTGAGCACCAACAGCCTGATGAAGAAAGGACAAAAAAACAACAACAAAAAAAAAACAAAATAGGTGCAGCAAAATGACAAAGCAAAGCTACCCTTTCCACAGTCATTACAGGCCACAACAGTCAGCACGTCCTGCTTTGTTGGAATATTTACAGTTATAGTTATCTCTTAGTTTTTGTTTAGTGGCCTTCTCGGATAGATTTAGCAAGAATCTTTAATAATAACACGAGACAGATTACATGTCGAGGTCAAGTCTGAGGGGGAAAAGAAAAAAAAAAAAAAGAAAATGCATGGAAATTTGGAGGCTGGAGCCTGCGTCGCAGTAACCTTGGTCTGGGGCTGAGGCTGCGAGCTCATGGGAAGCAACAACAACAAAAAATGACACACCTATGCATAAAATTAAGCCAATTCATACTGCAGGAATCCAATTTATCGTCTAGTAAAAATAATTTTTAGTCAAAATAATTGAACTTTGTTTTTTCTTTTGTCCATCCTTAAGGCACGCTCTGGCCCTGGGTGCTGACCAGCCCGCCCAGCGAGAGGCAGCCTCAGCCCCACACTCCACAAAAGACTGGAAACAAACAAAACAAGCTTAACGCTCCTCAGACAAGGCCACAGATCATTTACAGTCACTTTAACCTTCTCAGATAACACACTGAAGTCACTCAGCTCAACAGGTCAAAAACAGTCTTTAAGGAGAAGGGAGTATTGGTAGGCATTAATTAATAATCATCAGCAGAATAAACATAGAAATGCGGCTATCTGTGTCACCTTATACAGGTTTGGAACAAGTTAAACATCTCAAGTTTTTTTTTTGTTTTGTTTTGTTGTTTTTGTTCTTCAAAAAAGCTTTACTGCTCCTCTTAAAAGTTGTACTTTATGATTTTGTAATCCTAAAAAGAAAATTCTGTTTCCATCTGAGAACCTCTCATCAAAAGCCTTCAGATCAAGGAATAAAAAATCTAAAATTGGTAGCTTAAAATGTCCAGTGACGAGAATGAAACCCATTGTTTGTTTGTTTGTTTTTTTCTGCTTTGGTATGCGTTGCTCCTGGAAGTCTGTATATTTCTCAACATACTGTACATGATTATATTTTTAAGGAGGGTTTGAATGGACTCTTTGAGAGACCATTGAGTATCGACCACTCTGCCCTGTGCTCTTAGACACTCGCAGGCCTTTGAGGTCTCGGGTCCTTCTCCCCATAAGCAGGACGAGGACGTTTTACATTAGTGCAAACTTTTGCTCTCTCAGCTAAAGCACCGTTTCCAGTGCTATTTTAGGCTTTTTATCCATAACCCCCACCCACAAGCACCCTTTTTTTTTTTTTTTTTAGTTGCCCTACCCTCCTGGCACAGCATCCCCAAACCATGACCCTAACCCCAAAACACACACATACATACCGCCATGTAAAAATATAAAAAAAAAAAGGAAAAAAAAAAAAGAAACAGCTGTAGCACAACACATTGTTTTAAGAAAAATAAACAAGACAGAACAAGCTATACATCCTTAAACTTTTGATTCTGTGTTTTCTTTACACAAACATACAAAGAATGAGAGGAAGTGAACTCAAGTAAAATGATCTGAAAGATGACGAGCATCCATGGCTTAGTCAGGGAGGTCCAGACTGAATAAAATCACACTTATTATCTCGAGTCTGCATTTGACTAAGATGGACGGCGAAAAAAATAAAATAAAATAAAATAAAAAAAAGAGCTTTGGTCAATCAACAAAATCTACCATAGAGGTCCAATTAAAATGGCTCACAAAAAAAGAAAAAACCTGCCACGTTAAGACACAGGGTTTAAGCAGTCCATTCCAAGTACCACGACGAATAACGACAGACTTCACCCAGCTTACAATGGTTTAAAATCGGGATCGCTGCTGCACAATCACTAACACCCCTGTTAAATGCATCAAAGAAGAAGAGAAAAAGGAACTTAAGACTTTCATAACTCCTGCCTGACGGCGACCAACAAGAGTAAACAAGTGCTATGAAAACCTGCGCACAGAGACGTGGGATAAACAAGCTGCTGTCCGACGTGTTGCTTAGCAGTGTAATGTTCCTGCGTCTGTGCGACCGTGGACTCGTCCCCGCAGCGCCGATCCAAACAGAAGCACGTGCAGGTTTGAGAACAGATGGGGGGTCGATGCAAAGGCTTGTTTATAACAGTTATCCTGAGACCCTCCAGCCCACCTGCCAGCTTGTGCGCGCGTGCGCACACACACACTCGCAACAAAGGATGGACACGCAAACACAGACGCGTTCACACACACATACACAAAGTGCCCTTTCTTCTGCCTCCATATTTCATATTAAGACATAAAAAGACAAAGACAGACAGCGAACTTCAAGTGCATTCAGTTATATGGAATAGTCTTTTGGATCACAAAACCTCATCTGACCCCAGCTCAGCTCAACTCTTGTATCTCAACAAAACACTAGAATTCAAGTTCACCGCGACGGACAGAAAAGAAGGACTCATCTCTCTTGTTTCAAAGTACCCGTTTTGTTGACTAAAGTGCCCACTCGCCCTGTAAGAACGTGCTCCAATCCAAGTAAGGTGCATCATGAAGCACTTGTACAGAATATCCAAATAGTAAGAACACCCTCTTCCGGTTTTGTGTTTTAGACTTTCTGTGTCTTTAAATAAGTTAAAAACAATCTTAGATGAACAACAGGCCATGAGATTTTACAGTGTGTCAAAAAGTTGTGTGAAAGCAATTAAAGGTGTGACATTTGATTAAGTGGCCCCAAGCAACATGATCTAAAAGTTCACTTGGTCTGGACCATTACGACGGCTTTAACACCAATAACAGATACCACTGTGGCTGCCCTTTAATCGGGAGCGTGTTACAAGGCTAATTTACGACGGGAATAATCAACAATACTCAAAACAATGAACAGCTTTCTCAAAAGTGGAAATTTCAGCGGGTTGACGTGGACGACAGGTTTAATAAAAACGGAAAGAAATAGCAGAAGACCACTAAAAAAAAACATCAGCCCAATTAGAAAAAGGCTGATTAAGCGTGGCTTGATTTTAAGGGTTGTCGGCATAGATCCTCTTTAAAAGCAGCACGGCACTATGGCTTAGCTTTCCCAAGTTGCATCTGAACAAACCACGAGAGTTCTGGAGCAAATCTCGTTCTGAGAGATGAGACCAACGCGACGGTTTTGACCAGCACAAACTAAACACAACAATTAAGCACGGCGGTGGGTGGCTCATGATTTTGGCTCAACTTTGCATAAACTGACTGCGACTCCAAACACACCAGGAATGATGAAAGAATCAAGGAGTTAAACTACTAACAACTTTTAAAGGTGCACAAAATCAAATGGACACACCGATCCGCTAAAAGTGTTCAATGTTTCAAACAGTTCATTTTCAATTATATATATATATATATATATATATATATATATATATATATATATATATATATATATATATATATATATATATATATATATATATATATATATATATATATTTAAACAGCATAACATGCCATGGTATTGTTCATCAGAGACTGTAAGATTTAGCCAGGACCAAATAATTTCAGGAACAGTAGAAATGAAAGAGGATGTGTTTACTTTGTTTGTTTTTTTACATTTTTTTGCTCCGACTGTGTAAAGTGGGCGAGGAGGGGTGTGGGATCACGTGGAATCTGAACGTGCATGTTTTAACCCGAGCGAAATCACCAAAGCCTCGCAGTCACTGACAGCATTAGAGTGGACAGCGTGAGCCGTGGCGTCCCCCTCCTCTCTGCAGGACACCTGGACCTGGTGCGTGTGCGCGAACGACACGGAGAAAGTGCAGCGGCGCTGGCAGCTCAGGGTGCATGTTTGAACAGGCTGCGGCTGACTCACACTCTGATGATGTGGCCAGAGGGACCCTGGCTGGCTGCCACACACACACACAGGCACACACACATGCATACACGCACGCACACATTTAAAACAAATGTACATGTAAACACGCTCGTACAGTAAACTACCAGCACCAGGCGTCCAGGCTCTGATATAAGAAGAATAACAATAATAATATCTCCTCCAGGCTGGTTTAGGGGCATTAGAGGAGAGGCAGAGAGAGGGAGAGAAAAGGCCCGGTCTGATCCCCTCCCGGGCTGGAAACGTGGCTGAGCTGGGGGAGATTATTTTTTTGGAATGCAACAGACATTGTGAGATCCCACCACCACCCCCAACCCCCCACTCCACTCCTCTTCCCTTGCTCCCCTCCCCCACCGCCCAGCTGCAGCTGTGCTCCTATTTGGCCTCCCAACTCTGACAGGTATTTATTGCTCTCTCCATCACACAGGTTGCCTTACGGTTGTGTGGTCCCTGGGGCAAAATGGATTGGAATAAGCATGATACATACATCTAATCTCACTCCCTCCGTCCCCCCAACAACAACCCAGATTCCTTTAAATATCTCCCACTCTGTTGGATATCTTTAGTAAAGCTGTGCAAACGTAGAGGAAAAAAAAAAAGGTGCTCATATATGTCTTCTTCTTTGTATTCTTTGTCTCTCTTGCTCCCTGCCATTCCTTTAACCTGCGGTCGGTTAAGTGCTACCCGCGCCTTGTCGCACAAGGACAGACTCCGAAAAAACTGCACAAAGTTAAGCACATTCATTCATTCATTCATTCATTCATTCATTCATTCATTCATCGCTCTAATTCTCTGGGCAGGAACTGTACATGTCAAGTTTTACGTTTAGGACAAATAGGTGACTTAATGTTGTTTGATTTTTTGTTTGTTTGTTTTCTTTTTGTGTGTGTGTGTGTGTGTGCGTGTTTGCCATTGAACATTCACACAGCTTCGTTTCTTTCACCCAAAAGCTTCAACTGTGTCTGAGAAATATAACATTGAGCCTACAAAGGAAAAAAAAAAAGAAATCGGTAAGTACACCTCAGCAAGAGGGGGCCAACGTCATGTCTCTGCCTGCTATATACACACACGTATACAATTATAAAGTGTCGAGTACCCAAAAGAACAACAAAAAGAGAAAAAAAAACAGAATTAAGACAATCAAACATCAAAAGGGCAAAGGAGACGCTGACCTTGCAGGGCTGTGGGGGACAAGAGGCAATGTAGTAAAGCCAACAGGTACGTTGAGAACGATAGTGCTTGGAAAACACAAACCCTCCACCCCTCGCACTCCCCTCGTCCTGCAAGCGGCGAGCCTCCCCCTCTCCCCCCCGTTAAAGCGGATTCGACTCAAGTTGAACTTTTCAATAAGACAAAACCACCGATTACAATTAAAAAAAACAAAAAAAAAATCTTTTTTTTAAGAGTAAGTAACACTTCAATCAACCCCTCGCCTGATTTCTTTCTGGAACATTTATAGACTAAAAAATATAAAGAATCTTGCATCAAAATGTTGGTGAGTTTTCCTTGCATATACCATATTGTGGAAATTTTGTTTCTATGGTAACTGTACATCTCAGAGCTGTAAAGAAATAGGCATAAAAAAAAAAAGGAGTTGTTGCTGGGAGGATTTGTCCTCGCTTCACTCGTACAGCAGCCAGAAGGTGCATGACAGTCACCTTTCTTAGAGCTTGAAGGCTGTGAGGACAAACCAAGTAAAAATTTAAATCAACTGCATAGTTGCTTGGAGTTTCTTTGTCTCGATCATATACTCGCCTAACTGCATATGCCGGTATAAAAAAACAAACAAACAAAAAAAAAAAGAGTCTAATATGACAGAGAAAGAAATGGCCCAGAAAGTGGGTGGATGATTTGAAGCGTTCTTTTCTCTTTGACAAACAAAACAACTGAAGTGCTTGCAAGTCTATTCCATTTCCTAAAGTAAAAGGAGAAAGAAATATAAAGATTCAATTTCTGTGACACCCTGATTTGGTTTATAGAGGAATAGTTAGTTGTTTTGTCTTTTTAAATTGCCTTTGCATGTTTATTCTCTCTTCTGTCCACTGGCCTGTCTCACAGGCTGTGCAGAGCTACTGTGGCGTCCAGCAGTGTCCTTGTGGTCCCTTCCCCGCGTCCCCCCCCTGCACTCTCAGGGTCCCGCCTCCACTGCTAGCTCCTGCAGCCGAGGACTGTATGTGTGCACCTCCACAGCACCCTCCACCTCTACTGCAGAGGACGCCTCGGAGCGCCGCCGGCCCCTGGCGGTGCGAGGCTGGGGCCCAATTTCGGGGCTGGGGCTCAGGAGGCTCGGCGGGGCCTCCAGGAGCCCCGGTTCTCTCACCCGAGGTTTTCTGCCCCGGCGGGAGGGGATGCCGTTGCAGCCGTCCTTCTTAAGGTGGCGGTGCAGGTGGTCCGAGCGTACAAAAGTCTTAAAGCAGCTTGAGCACTGGTAGGGGCGGAGACCGGTGTGGACACGCATGTGGTTCTTCAGGTCGTAGTTGTGAGCGAAGGCGGCTCCACATTGTGTACACAGGTAAGGCTTCTCCCCTGTATGCTTTCGCATGTGAACCTTGAGCTTGTCCTGCCTGAGAGGGAGAAAGATAAACACGGCTTAAGAACACACAAAGACAACGTCTAACTCTCAAAACAAACGGCTCGCTTTTGTCTGAATGTCCTCCGTCGCCGGTGCCAGCTTCGCTAATTAGGCCGCGCGCAAATATGTAATTATCTTTAAATTTATTACAAAGTTTCACACTTGCAGGAATCAGCTTAATGCGCTTTAGATGATTTCATTCTATTTTAATTGTCGCGTCTTGGCTCTCCTCCCGGTCTATGAGGGTTGTAAGTCCAGCTGAGGGGAGGTCATAAACTTCACATTTTTATCTGTGTGACGGCACACAAGAGCGCAATTGCACACTGACACGAAGGCTCAGTGTTCAGTGTGTCAGCTGGCTTTTTTTTTTATTGCTTCTGTTAACCCCCATTTGAGGTCACACCAACAGGAAGATCTGCGTGAAGAATTTACCGTCCTCTTGCAAATCCGTTCCGGGGGAAAATGTATTGTTTACGATGTCGTAGATTTGAATACTACAGGACTGAGGCTGGAAAAAAGAAGCTTAGTGAATCCCCATGAGGCCTTTTTTAATTCAATTTTGTGCGAGTGAGGAGTCATCCTAACTAAATAACCGAAGTCCAGCTACTTATTTCATGACTGAGGAGTTGTGTACTAATTACAAGGTAAAACATATCAAAACAAAACTTAATTTTTCAAAGAGGTGCTCCAAGGTATTGACCACAATTAGCTCATTAGTGACAAACTGAAAAAATTGAAGGGAGAGAAAATCACCTGTTTTTTTTGCGTGTTCACAAAATCTAAAAAAAAAGAACCAATAGAAAATTTTTTTTGATTCCAACCAACCTGTAGTAGGACTTTATATACCTTAACAGCACAGATCAGTGACCATCTAGTCCTTCTAGTTGGGAAAGAAAATATCCTCTTTTTTTCCAATCAGTGAAGTCACCATACCACCTTGCCTAAGAGGTATCAGGTTATGTTGACAACAATCTCCCTTTAAAAGTGTGGAAGTTGTGAACAAGCAAAGAACATTCAAAGTGAGATTCATAAGCTTTTTTATCTTCCTTCTGTCTTTCTTTACTGCTTTCTCTACTGAATAAAGAAAAAAAAACCTTTAAAACGTAAATTGCATTTTCCCTGACGTGTCAAGACTAGGGCTACACAATGCCAACAAAAATTGCTTAATATTGCAATGACAGTATAAATGAACCACATTCTCCTGACCCTGTTCTTCCATCACTCAGTCAGCTTTTCAGCCACCTAAAAAACAAACAAGCGTGGGTTTTAAGAGCACTAAAAGTCTATCCAATCCAGGCTGAATCTATTTCAGGCATGAAGTGTAACCAGGCATGGCACACGAAGAACAATCCTAGCAAAGACTGTATCCAACCAGTCCTTTGTGATTATGATATTGGAATAACTATTTCTAAGTGGTATATTGTGGAACTCTACACCAGACATGTCTGCATTTAATTCAGGCTGCGAGAAACTGAAACATTTAGCAGATAACAGGAAGGCTGAATCGAAGCGAAGCTGCTGTTTTGTTCTTTTGTGTTCGAAACCCACCAGTCGGGGAACATGCTGGATTTGCAAATGTTAGCAGCCTTTCGCAAATTTCAGATTCAAAGTGATTAACACTTTCTATACGGTTCACACACGCAGAAAGCAGGTTATAGTTAGTAAAGCGAGCGGTGCTAATCGTTAATTTTAAATATAGTTCTGAATGTCAGCTCCATTATTAATGGTTTTGGCTTAAAACTGCTGTCTCGCACATAAAGTTGCCTATTTCTTCTCATGTAAACATGTAATATCAACAGGTGTAAAGTGTGATGCCTTTTTATAATGAAGAGAAACCAAAATGAACAAAAACTGGTTTTATCTGGTCAAACCTCAGATTTAAAATCAGTCACAGTATTCTGATCAATGCATCTCTACTTCTGCAGATTCAAAGTAATCTAATAACATTTCGAAACATGTTTTACTTTGTTGCTCCAGCAACTTATCAGGCTGCCTTGGCCTTCATCTGACTCTTGTCCTTCGTTCCCCCCTTTAGCCCTCGCCATCTCCCTCTAGCTCCCAATCACTCAAATCGTCTAACCGTCCTACACTTAGGACTCTGAGTCAAATGAGAGCTGCTAGCATAACTCCAAATGAGCACGCCTACCCACAGTGGAAATGTCATTTAAGTTAGTATATCAGCTGTCATTCAACCAAATGAGTAATATCTGTGAGCCAAACATTAAAACTTCAGCAAACAAGGAAACACACTCATATCAGGGCACACACAGGCAGGCCATAGTATTGGAGCAAAGTAGCCACTGACAGAGGTGAATTATTTAAAGGAAAGGAGTGATTTATTACTGAGCGAGGCAAACCCTTAACCCTGATCAAACAGGATTAAGATTACAATGCTGCCCCTTTCCTCTGGTGGTCAAATTTAGCTGGAGGATAAATTAAGAATGGTCTTCCTCGTGCTCAAAGGGGTTCTGGATATATTCAGACAGCAGCATCTATTTTCACCAAAGGCCAGCTAATTAATTCATTAAAGTAATCATTTCATGGAAAAGGCAAGCCTTCCTAACATGAAAACCCTTCGCACAGATGTCCCCTCCTTGAGATAAGCCACGTCTATCTGTTTTCTAAGGGACACGTAGCAGGTTTTATTTGAGAGGTGAAGGAGTGATAGAGAGCGAGGGGAGGGGGTTGTGTAAATACTCTGCTGCAGGCAATAAGAAGCATAACAGCAGATCAAAAGTTCACATTACTGCACTGGAGCCAGAGCACCATCCGGTGGCTGCAACCCCTCCTCCCCCCTTCACCCCCCTGTATCAGAATACAGTCCTTTATGGCCCCTTTTCACAAGATAACACGTTGTTGGCACAGCCTTCTTTTATAGGACCCCTATGTTAAAATTCCAGGACTTTGTCATGAAGGCTGCCATCATAAAACTGATCTTTATAACACTCCCCTCCTTCACAGCATGGGGATGTTGGGAGGAAATCTGTTTAGTATCCTGCCAATCCACGATCACGGTAAACATTTGGACACAGACTGCACTGCCTAATGCAAAGCTAAGGTGGTTAGCGCTAATTCTCCAGCTCTTGGCTTTGTGGCGTTTCCCTCCGCTGGGCCGTTTATCCAAGACTATTAGCACATGTGACATGAGGTAGTCCCTTCATTAAATGGGCTTACCTGGTAAAGCGCACTTTGCAGATGGCGCATTCATAGGGTTTCTCTCCCGTGTGCGTTCTGATATGGCGGGGTAGCTTGCCTGCACCTTGAATGACCTTCGAGCATATGGGGCACTTCTGGAAGGCCTTAGAGCGCATCTTTCTTTCTCCTCCACCTCCTCCGGTGCCGTTCCCTCTCTCCTCCACTGCCCTCTCTCCTGCTGTGTGTTGGCCCGCGCTGCCTCGTGACATCCACAGCGACGGCGGCACGCCGTGCACGAGTGATGCGGAAGCTGCGTCTTCGTGCTGCGTGCTGCTGAAATAATTCAAGTAAAATTCCATGTCAGGATCGTCCCCGTCTCCCTGCTCCTCCCCGTCCGCACGCTTCTTCTGCCTCTCGATGGAGTCCATCATTTGTTGCAGGAGGGCGCTGGCCGAGCCCCGATCCCTCACCATCGCCTCCCTGCAGCTGTCCTCCACCTCCGCCTCCTGCCGAGACTCAGGGGGGAGGTAGAAGTGGCCGTTCTGAGATGGAGGGTAGTATGACGACCCCAGGTTCACTCCGTTGCCCTGAACTGCCTCCCTGTCTTCATCTTCCTCTTCGTCCTCGTCCTCCTCCTCTGGTTCTTGCACTTGAGGCTGTGACAAGGCTAGGGCCAGCGGGGAGTAGTACTCACCGGGGCCCGCAGGAGCCCCATTGCTGGGGATGCTCTCGTTACCATGGTTAAAGTGCAGATGTGTGGGCAGTTCCCTGAGCTCTGGTGTGCTGCAGCTGCTGCTCCAGTGCGCCCCTCTCTGGAAGTACTCCAGGTACTCCCTGGCCCGAATTCGGTTCCCCTGCTCCTTGACTCCTCTGCATTTCCCCTCTTCATCTTCATCTCTTCGCTCACTGCCCGCCTGTGGGAACAGGGAAGGAAACAAAAGCCAGTGAAGGGAAAATTTGCAAGGGCACCGATGAGAGCTAACTTTAAACACAATTGGAGAGGTCAGAAGACTTTTGTCTTCTAACAATTATAGCTTAGTTGGTTAAGGTAGATAGACCAAAATGAAAACTTTTACATCTTGCAGAATATTTTAGCTTTTTATGCAATGCAAGGCACAGTAGGCAGAAAAACAAAGTCAGGGAGGAAACAACTGTGATGCTAAAAGCTACTACTGAACAAAAATCTTGACATGCCCAGAGAAATTAGGTAATTTTCTTCTGGACTGGCTGACCAGTGACGTACTGTTCAGATACTCAAAAACCTCATCCTTTTCTAACCAGGATGAGAAAAGGATCCTTTTACCAGCTAACCAAAATAATACCAGGTAACACTAAAAACTCTTCAGTGTGAAAGTTGTTGCTGAGAGAAGAGGACTCAAAGTTCTGTTTTTGTTCCCAAATCAAGCCATCAAACATCAGGAGACGCCTTGTTGACTACAGACTTTACTAAGAGCTATCTTCCACAGAAAGTAGTATAAACGAAAGTATCACCTCAGCATCGCTCTGTTTTATCTTTATTAATACTGGAATCCTGTTCGTTATGGAAGCTGCTTGGTTTGGAAATGTTGGTAGTCCAGAAGTTAAAATAATGATCTGGACTCTCTAAGTAATACACACACAGACTGCTGTTTACACTTCCTGTTCTTAACCTCTCAAATCTGATAAAAAATTGCTGATAAAAAAAAGAAAAAAAAAAAGAATCTAAACTACAGGTGAGATCAATTTCTTTCTTTATTTTTGTCTTTATTTTAAAGAAGCAAAACCTGGCTTGACAGAAACAGATTTTTCCCATGATGCTCGACATCACCTTTGCTCCTTCTTTAAATCATTGGTGACCGCTCACAGTAAGAAGGTAGAAAGAAATACTTTGAAGGCTGAAAACTACAAATCTCCAAGAACAATCTGAACTGTCTGAAATCTACTTATATCGAGACTTTATAAAGCAAATATCTGACCAACAACCGACTTCTGCATGTCCTGCGTGATGTTACGGCCCACCATAAAAATCTGAACTTCTTAATATGGTATTACATATTACGACCGAGCACATCACTGCTGCAGCTGAAGATGTTGCCCGGCTGTGAGGTGCTGTGTCTGAAGTCTGGGAAGGAGCACGCTGTTCTTCCACAAATACTGTTGGCTCAGCATGAGTAAGTGTTATACTAACTCCAAGCTGTGGGAGTGTGTTAGGCATAGTGAGAGGCACTGATACAGGCCATGATGTAACTCTAGTTATGCTGTTTATTGAGGTGGACGGCATGATGACTGTATGCACCATTTTTGATATGAATGAACAAGAGAAAATGAATGCGCAGTAGCTTCCAAAACTATTTACACCTCTTTACTTTTACATTGTAACACGCTATGACCAAGAAGTTTCATAAAATGTGCTTGATTTTATCTGAGTACTCAACAGAAAGTAGTACTGCATTGTGAAGTGGGAGGAAATAGTTAAGTTATTTTAAAATAGTCTAGAAATCAAATTTACGTTAGAATGGTCCAGTCGAAGCCCAGATTTATTCCAATTGATTCTATACAAAGAATTGGAAATTCTTAGTGACATAAAATTGCAGAAATGTGAAAAAGTTTGAAGGCAGTGAAACATATAAGCTTTTCAGTGTTTTGTTTCTCAATCTCAGGATTCTAACAGTGAATACACAAGCTTTGTTTCTGTGTTACGGCGATGCCTCACCGGCGGGGAGAGCACTTTGGTGTCCAGCAGGTGAGTACAGACGTCCTGAACGGGAGAGATTTCCAGGAGGCGAGCAGCAGCAAGGATGTCAGCCACGCTGCTGTGACTGACCGTCAACGTCGCCGTGTAGGCAAAGTCCAGCAAAGCTCCCAGAGCCTCTGCTGCCACAAAGTCGATGTTGTAGATGTTCTGCTGGTCGGCGGCGGCCCCTGAAGTGAAGAGCTTGTGGAAGTAAGAGCTGCAGGACGCAAGGACGGAGCGGTGGGCCGGAAACTCCCGGTCCTGGGTGACTAAGAGCACATCGCAAAGGAGCCCGCTGAGCCGCTGCTTGTTCAGGCCGCCCAGGACGTCCGCGCTGTGTTCGGGGAAAGGGATCCCCACGGGACCCTCCTCCGCCTCCCCCGCTCCTCCTCGTCTCCCTCCGCCCGCAGTGCTTGTTATACCCCGGAGCCGCCTTCCTCCTCTCCCACCGGCCCCTGACGACATCTTCCACCAGCCTGCCGCCGAGCCGCCGAGCACAGCCCCCACCCGTGTATCCGTCCTGCCGTCTGTCTGTCTGCCTATCTGAAAGCAGAAGACACAGATTACTGATTAGTTTCTTTTGTGGACAGAAAAGTGAGAGGAATATTGATTGACTGAGAGAGAAATCTGCAATATGAGCACAAGCTGCAGCAACACATTTTTAACATGCTATAAAATTTAAGAATGAGGAAAGCGAACCAAATCAATGCACAATTTACACACGCCAGCTGTTCACCACTGCACAAATAGCACTGAAGTATTTAGGAAGTGAAAACAATTTTTATAGCTTAGAGCACATATGTAATTTAAAATACAGGGAAAATCTTACAAAGATACGCCCACTGTAATAAAACTTAGACTGAAGTGGTTTGAAAGTAAGTAACTTTAGTTAGATAGCAACTTTTCAAGGAAAAGATTTGTTTCACACATCCCTCTGCCCCAAAGTTTCCAAGCATTAAAAGTCGTACTTTTAAATTTGTTTGTTTATTTGGGGCATTTCTAATCTGTTAAATCCTGAATATAACTCTTGAAGTCTGCTAAAGTTAAACTCTCGCATCCATTTGATTCGAACTTGGACTTCAGTGTGAAAATTTCGTCCCATGCAGCATTGAGACAGTGTCTTGTTCCTCACAACAGCTCACAATCTATTTTGAGACTGATTAGAAGAAAAAAAACACTGACTAAGAAACAGGTGTAGATACAGACTGATGGCAAAACAAACAGCTATATGCAAGACACTAGTTTCCTGTAGTGGATAAATTATCCACAATTCACCAGCGCTGAATTGTGCTGGTCAGCAGTTTTCTCTGCATAAATACAACGAGTGGGAGAATCAAAAAAGATATTTATGTATTTCACGTGTGCAGGTGGCCGGGTGCCTGTTCCTTGTATATATGAATACATCCACGGGCGTGAGCATGCACCCGTGCAAGAAATCAAGCAAGAGGTCGTGGAGGACAGATAAGCAGAGGGCTGAGGGGATCAGAGTGCATGCTGGGAGCTGGGCTGTGCAGCCCATGCTCACTCTGTGACAGTTGAGAGCAAGGAAGGAAAGCGAGGGAAGTGGAGGAACAAGAAGGGAGAGGAGAGTGGAGGGATGTAGAGAAGGCTGCAAGGGCAGACCCTGTGGAAAAAAACTCCAAAGGAGGAGGAAGAGAATGTACGATGAGTTGCAAAGGAACAGCATTAAAAAGGGAGGTTGTCAATCCGGTCTGAGCTAGTTACCCCACCCTGCGCTGCGTGCCAAGTTTCGGAAAAGGCCTGTCCCCTCGCTCACGTGTGTTTGTGTGCGCGTGTGGGGTGGGAATTAAAATGATCGACTGAAGCTTAGGCGGAGGGGCGGGGTGGTGGTGGAGGGGTTTCGGCAGAGCAGGCCATCCTCGATTTCTCAGTCACACGAGTGAATACAGTAACATCAATAACACACGGAAATGACACACATTACACAAGCACACACAGGACATCCACCTCCCCTCCAACCTCTCTTCTTCACCATCTGCCAGGCAGACCCAGTAGGGGGGCAAGGCTGGGCGGCGGTTGCATTAAATGCATTGCTCTCTACAAGCTTCAAATTACAAGATTCTTTCCGATCAATCCTGCTGGTATGTTGGTTTGCTACACCCCACTCCCAAACCTGCCTAACCTGGCTGCCCCTCCTCTTTTAATTGAGTTCACCTTCTTTCAGAGGAGAGGAGAGTCCTCTCCTCTCCTCTCCTCTGCTTTGTTTTATCCTCTCTAAAGAAATACCTGTCTGTGTGAGGATAGGTCCTGGATAGATTTATCTGTCCGAGGAACCCATAAGAGATTAAGAGGTTTCTTTCATCCTCTCATCAATAACTAAATGGATCAAAGAGTGGTCGATTCAACCAAATGTTATAAGATAAAAAGCTTCAAGTCCAAATGATGAGGATGATGATGTTTGCAATGGTTTGTGAATAATGATCACCCAGTAAGACACCAACTGGCTCCAAGGAATGGGTTGAATTCCAGCATCCAGGTAAACCAACATTTGGTTTCCAAACCACTGAACTAGTCGGAGGAGGTGGAGTTTTCTCTGGTTGTATGGAGTTTAGCTAAAGGCGATCCTTGAAACAATTTGATATTCATGTGTTACTCCAGAAACCAAAGATCAAAACAAGGAATGGGAAATGATCAAAATGCTAATACAATATGAAAAATGTCAAGAAAGAAAGAGATGTAGTCGTAATGCTGCATTAAACAATTAGCTCTAATTAATGGTGTTAATTGTCATGATTGTGATTGCTACCAAATACCAAAATGCTGATCCTTTCAGTTACCTTTCCACTACTGGTTTCAGGGGAGCGTCATTATACACACGTTCCTTGTTAAAATGCGACTGAATTTTATAATTACAGCATATACAGTTTATCTGCACTAATCAATGTATTTTACAACGTGTAAAATACAAAACTTGTAGTTTTACTTCGTTGGGCTAAGAATAAATGGAGTTATATGGATTTAAAGCTAAAAAGAATGCAATACGCTGCTTAAGAAACACCATGAATTCTAACATTTTATATTCACATCAACCGTCCCAAAGCAAAAAACTAAAAAGGGTTAATTTTCTTTGGAAAAAGTATATTTTCTTAAAAAGTTGCAAAATCAAAGTATCAGACACTAAATTATTATACCTGTTATATAAACTATTTATTTTGACAGCAATAGGAATAGTTATTGCCTTCTGGTTTTCAAAACATTTTCACTTAAACGTTCTGCATTAACTAAAAATGCAGAACGTTTACTGTATCAAAACAGTAAAACGGAGGAGTTTTAAATCAAGGTTATCGTACCATGAGAATGTCATAATGGTCCTTCCCTATTGGCAACACGCTTTATGGATCTCTTGAATCCTGTTTTTGTGGGCGGCTGACCACATAGGGTCTGAGAATACTGCCAGAGACTTTAACAGAGCTCCACTGAAAACAATCTGTCAGCCATGGCAAAAGCAAATTTTATTACCCCATCTCTCATCTGAATATGTTAAGGGAGGGGAGAGAGACAAAGAGAAATGACACGGGAGGCAAAGAGAGCAGAGTGAGAAGGGAAGGAAAAGCGAGAGAAAGGGCATCCACATGGCTACCGGTCGTGTCCTTCGCAGGTGGAAACAGATCTCTGCGAGCCTCGTCCAGAGCCGAGTCAACCTGCTTTTCTCTAAAGCACCTGCACTGAACCGGGCTTTGCTGCAAGCCTGCGAATGAGGCTGCTGTATCCCCCATACATCTACAGTTGACCCTGGGTCATGGCTTTGTGAGTTAAAGACGTTGAGCTTGAGGAGGAGATAAAACACACACTTGCACGAACATGCGCACAATCACAAAACTTGATTCGGCGCCAACGAAGCGCAGAGGGACTGCTCTGCATGCAGGAGCAGCCTGTCCCTGAATGAACCTGCACAGAACACAGAGAAAGAGGAAACATGGAGCCACAAACCTGATCCTGACACCTCCTCATGGCTTGAAACATTCCTTATCACTAATTCATGCCTGTGGGTGACAAGGACGGCAATCTAGCACAAAGCGGCACCGCAGCTGTCCGTGTACTTTGTGTTCCAGCTTCAGGGAAGGGCCCCTCTCTTTGGCGCTCGGGCCACGAGCGCCCAGGCCTGCTTTGCAAGTCAAACCACCGTCTCAACGTGCAAAGCCGACCCATCCCATCTCCACCCTCACCTCATTCAACTCATCCACAACATCCCTTCGCCCCCTCTCCTATATCTGTACAAGAGTGTTTTCTAAGACGAGTTTTTGTTTTTTTCTGGAGGGGTTCTTTCAGCAGTTGACCGAACACGGCGTGCGTCAACATCTGCATGGAGACAGTTGGAGTCCATTTGCTTGTCACTGTCTTAGACAGACGCCGGCCTGATATCAAGGTGTGACAGGAGTAAGCAGGAATGGTTCTTATTTAGGCTGACACGGTTCGTGTTGTGGAGCTTCTCAAAAATTTCCACCCTGAAAGTTTCTCTGACTTTGGCAGACACATACCAGTCATTCCTAGATACTAGCGAACAAACTGTTAACCGTGTGCAGCCCCAGATGTTTCTCAGATAAGGGAAGACATAGAATACAAAGTCATTTTAAAAATGCACAACAACCAAAACAGTAGCCCCCATAAAAACACCGCCTGGTCTAAAATGCAAATGATCTCTTTCCTCTTTCTCCTTTAACTTTCTATTTCCTTAAATTTGAGAGTTTGAAAATTTTACTGTTGGCTATTACCAATTTGCACACTTCAAAAATACAGAAACACACAAGAGAACAAGTAAAATAGGCACATCCAGTAGGATATTCTAATAGCATAAAACAATTGGGTAAAAACACAACACTATTAAGAGTTATTGCAAATTCCTAACAACAATAAATAGCAGGATATGACTGACATCATTGAAAACAGAAAAGCAAAAACTGTTGCTACTGACACTCAAATAACACATTGAATTGTTACCCTCATCATGATGTTATCTACAATACTTATTTCTTGCTCATTTCATTTTGATACATAAACATAGGTGACTAAACTATGACTAATTTGCAAAAGTTTTACCCTTTGGACAAACATATTCTACCTATTTCTTGCTCTGCTCTTAAAAGAGTAGCACCCAAAGCATAGCAAGTCGAGCTTGTGAGTTATTTGGGTCACTTACAATACATGCCTCTGAAAGTTTGCCGACTGTAGTTTTCAAACATTTCCATAAAAAGTGTGATTGTTGGCATTTAGTTTCACCACTCTGACTGTCCGAAACCAGAAATATTTGGGAGCTACTGAATATGTCTGTATTGTAAGCAACAGGATAAATTTACAATAATAACTTTCTGTCAACAAGCTGCAGCAACATGTGGGGGAGGGGAGACAGAGGACTTGTAGTGCTCTGTGCTTCACGCTGACTGTGAAAACACCATTGTGGCACATTTGCATCTGTTTAAAATGTAAGAAATGTATGATTTTAAAAAAATTGCAGATTTGATAGCATTTTAAACCTTGACATACATTGAGTTTCAAATAATAAAAATACTTCACAAGTTCTGCACATTTGTACAACAGGATCTTCTCACTCAGATCTAGAAGGCTCCACTCTGAATCAAGTGGACAAGCGAACATGATAGGGCTTCGGGGGGTTAGGAAAAGTGGATTTTGAGTAACTGCCACTGCTCAGTGACTCATTGTTGGCCAAAGTGGAAGGAAACCTCACTGGCCGTGCTGGGAGCAAAGCAGGAAGTAGGCTAGTGACTGATAAAACCTAAAGTTGCATGGGCTGGTCGAGGCCTGGCAGCTTTCACTAGAAACTAACCAGGAAGCGCTGCCAAAACACGGAGCCAGTGAGAAGCTGGTGGGCGAGACAGGGCGTCAAACTCACAAGCTCGCTCATAACTTGAGAGCAAATGGAGGCCCAGGAATTTGGCTCAGATGTCAATGATAAACTTGGGATGAATTACTGTTGGACCTGGTATAACCTGCTACAGTAAAAGAAAAGGTAACCTAAAGGGAGTGGGGGTGGTTGGGCAACTGCACATGTGTCATGCTGGGTAGTTGAAAATGACTTTCAAGCCCTCTTAAAGCAACAGACTTTTTAACATAAAAAACTAAAAGATTGTTTTTTTCTCTTAATTTTCCTATGTATTTAAAGAAGACAAAGCCATAGTAATCCAGTTTAAGGTATTTTAATTTATACTTCCCTTTTTTTTATTTCAAATAAGGATCTGGTGAGGGATGATGAGCAGTTAAAATCTTACCAGCAGGAGATAATTTAAATGGCATCTTTATTTAGTATAAATAATTATTGTTATTATTTGGACTTAGCCCAAGAAGAACCAAAGGATCTTGTTTGAATTTGTTTTTCACACAGAAGCACATGATTATTTATGGAGGACATGGAAGTTGGAGTTGGTGCAGCATTGATGGTCTTCCTGTGTCAAAGGTTGAGCAGTGTACAAATCAACCGAACAGCACTGGGTTAAATTGTTATAACATTTTTACATTTTGCACCACTTTTATGTCAGACAATTACTCTGACTGGAAACACTTTACATCTAACGTGCTCAGTCAATGTTTTACACAGCAAGATGATGGGTGGTGTTATGCCTCCGACCTGCATTCTCCGTGTAAATAATCATCAGCTTATGTGTATAAAACCACTCGACACAAACGTTACAACATCTTATAGGTTCATAAAACTGAATTTAAACAAACCACTTGGGCTTTTTGAGACTGAAGTTGTTTTAAGGATGCAAAGTCCACTTTGGTCTTGGCGCCTCTTGGCTAGCACTCAGATTCCTCCCAATCAACAACTAAACTGCATTTCTATTAAGTGAAGAGCTGTAAACTACAGGTCTAAAATCATTCATCCATAAACCTTGAAAGGCACCTCATCTAAGAAACTCAGAATTATTATTATTAAGAAGTATGTCATGGTTTTCACACAGCATTACACGCTAAGACGTCATGAAATGGCATTTGCACCTGTTATGCATTTGTAATATATGATTACAATTACACAAGTCATCAGGTGTTACAGTTTCCCCCCGTCTTTTCTTGCCATCTTGTTTAATAAGTCAACATGGTGCCACCTTGGTGGTGTTACAGAAAGCTCATGTCCAGCAGGTGAACTGGTCAAACAGCAAACACTGGCTGCACTGCGCTGCGCATGCTCAGCCTGACAGGGAAAGAGGACTTCCTGTGAGTCCATGGCAGGCGTGTAACAGAACCCGCTCTGTTATCAGATGACCAGCTCTCCTCTTGCTCTGTCTCCCTGTCCGTACTGTCTGACCCCCTGGCCCCCCCACTACCACCCTAGCCCCGCCTCCTTCTTCTCCTCTCATCTGTTGCTCTCATCTCATCATTGCTCCATCTCTGTCTCAGACTGTGCACTGCATAGTATCCACCACATCACCCACTTCCCCTTTCCACTGCTGAGGAGGCAAAGCGGTGCGGACCCACCCGCCTCCCTGTGTCTCGCCATACTTTAATGCAACCCACACATCGTCTTTCTCTTGTTTCACTGGAAACCAAGTAACTTCATCAGCAAGCAGACAGTGTCGGACCACTCACACATCCCTCTAGTCGCTTGGCCTGTACCTGTTAACAACAAATCAATAAATGTTTGGGGTTTTCTGTCAGTTTTGTAAACACGTCCATATCCTCCGATTCGATGTATTTTATGATTTATCAGCACAATCCTTAACTCGAACATTGCGATAATGCAAGTGAAGCTCTCCCCTTCTTCTTGAAAAACATCCCGAGCCACACTCTCTTGCTCTTAATTTGATCAGGTTGTGTGTTAAACTCTGCACAATAAATGTCCCAGAAGAGAACAGAAGAAGCCCCTTTCCTGCCCCTGGTCTTCAGCATAACAACAGAAAACAACAGAGAGGGGTCTGTCTGTCTAGCCAGGCTGGAAGCTGTGGTATATTAAGCAGCTGACCAGGGGAACCAAACATCATGGAGGGGGGGAAGTGAAGCTGCATTCATTAAGGAAGAGGCGAATGAAACAACTCCAACTGTAACTGTGTAAGCCTTTATAAATGTATTTATGTTAAAAAAAAAAAAAAAAAAAAAAAGCAGCATGGAAATACTCCTTAAAGAACTCTATCTCCGGTATGAGCCATTTTGACACATAGATAAACCTTAACACAAACAATATGACAGCTACATGTATCCCAGTGTATACTGCCAGCTTTTTACTCTGAAATAAAGCCTCAAACTGCCACGGAGACATCACACAACCTGTCCTCTCGGTCTGCCTGAACCTGCTAGTTTTGGGCCATCGTGGTGCAGGCACAAACATACAGGAATATCAAACTGTATTCAGCCTCACCGCCAAATTGATGGGTGGTGTCTTGGACCTGCCCACAGTCACTGAAGTCCCCTGCAATTCCTCTGGAGTCTATTGTTGGTAACACAGACGCGCATGCACACACACGTGCGCGCGCGCTCACACATACATACACATATGGCGTCCTAGTTTAACCTCTTGGTGGAATTCACTAGAAATAACCATGCTGTTCATCCATAGGACGAGGAACATTCAAAAGACATTGTTTGCAATAACTAATCAGGTTTTTTTATTTTACCTTAAGCTGAACAAGAAGCAGTGATCAACTTAATTTACGGCAGCATTATGAAAGACTTTCCCATAAAATGGGCGTACTGTGCTTGTCATCTTCCCTCTCCATGCCCGCACATTTGTAAAAACGGGTTTAACAAGTATGCAAAGCCAAAAAAAAAAAAAAGCATCTGGTTATTGAGGAAGACAGTCAGGGCTGCTGTGAAGTTTTTAAACTACTGGTTTAAAAAAGAAAGCCTTACATGGCGGCAGGACAGATTACAATCTGGTCTTAACAAGATGCTGGTGAGGATGGGGGAGTTGAGCGGTAAAGAGAGAAGGGACGTCATAAGATTGAGTAGCTGTGAACGACTGAAATCAATCTACAAACGCTTAAGCTCTTTGGGGACGGTTACACAAAGTTGCCGGAGCTTAAGTTTTGTTTTAATATTGCACAGACTCAGCCACGGCAGCCTGCCGTGTCAGGGAGAGGGGATTCAGCCGTCACGAAATGTGTCTCCGCCTCATTAAGACGAGATGTCACTTAGTTAAGTTTCTAAAACTATTACTCAACACCTGTGCCACAGTAGCCATGAGCCACAGCTCAGCAAAGTATGTGATGGGGCGGTTTCTGTAGAATTAGTCTGAAAGCCCCAGAAGAAGAAGCGGTACAGGATGTGCAAATATCTTCATCTTCTCACTCTGCTAATATTAGCAGCTACTCTACCCAATTAACCACAACTTGACAGATTCAAAACAACACATGTAGGATAAAACATCTGAAGGCAATAAAGCAGATAGTCAATGCGGCACCTGACCCGTTTGTCAGCCCTTGCTCTGTCTTCAAGAGGGTCAAGAACTCTGAACTCTATCAAGACACTCTGGATTTACTTTCCCTGCTTGCTTCCCCTCTCCTCTAAATCCCAGCCCTTAGACACCGTGTGTGTGTGGATGTCTTCGCAATGCTTACCGAATAGGCAGAAAATGTTTCTCGGGACCTCTCTGCCTTCCCCTGCTTTGCCGGCCAGTTCTGCTGCCTGTGTCTCTGGGCAGGGCTAGAGCATTACCAGTCAGGAAACTTGTGAGTGGCCCTAGTCATACAGGCAAGCCCTTGCCTGATCCCACACAGACACCTACCCGCCCCCATCCCATCCACCACCACCCTCTATTTTCAGCCCACAACTCCGCTCCTGCATCCCCTCGCCTCATTGGCTTCGCAGCGGTTAACTCGCCACACCTCCTCGCAGGGATAGGCTGACGGCTGTTCCCTTTCCTTCATGGCCAAGGGCAAGGCACTCTGGGATATAGAGGCCGAAACCCAATGTCACCTGGTTTCCACAGCCCCCGCTGCGGACTACGAGTCCCAGCTTTCCTCTCTGCCCTCACCACCCCCACCATCTCCAAGCCTTCTCTAACGTAAGCAACCCAGGGCTGAATTATACACTACAGTATGCTGCTAGCAGCCTGCCAGGTATTAAAGTACAGAGCAGCCATCAAACAAGGATAGGGCGCTGTGGGAGGAAAAAAAAAACAAAACAAATTTCAGCCCAGACTGTCAGGGGCAGCACTGAAACATCGGCCGTGCGCTCTTTCATCAGCTCTGCGCTCTTGGGACGGTTCAGACACACTTGAAACTCCTGACCTAAATTGACTTACCCCTCCTCTAAACAACCTAATGCCACCCAGACATGCTCTGCAAACACAGCACACCCTGCAATGAGTGTCTCACCCTGTAATGTCCCAAAAAGTTGCTGCCACTGCTTGTAGCCTTTCCAGTATCATTATTATTATTTTTTTGCTTCCTCCTTCTCTCGGTTCAGTCGCCTCCCTCCTCCACTGCCTCCTCCTCCTCCTTCTCCTCCTCCTCTAAGTGCTTCCACCTGCCTGAAAAGTGAATGTTTTGATCACATCCTACAAACTTTATCACAAAATTCCCCCAGAGGGAAGTAGCTCTATAAAGGACATATTTAAGAGAAAAAAAAAAAAGAAAAAAAAAAAAAGAGGAACCTTGACTAGGGACCGCTGCTGCGACCCACCTCTCCTCTCCAGCCAACCCCCCCACCCTGCTCTCCTTTCTGGCCCCCCTCCCTCGGTCCTTCCTCTCTCCTCTCCTTGCTACCAGCCCTCCTGAGTCCGACAGGCCCAGGGCAGGCAGAGGAGGGGATGACAGGTCGCCTTCAGCTCACCTGTGATGGCCGTGGTGGTGCTTGTTGTGGGTTAGCTCGGCCCTCTCCTCTCCTCCTCTCCGGAGCTCTCTATCTCCCTCTCACTGTCGCGCAGCTTAAAGCCCCCGTATGCGCTAACCAAGCAGCGGCAGATCAACTCAATTCCCTTCCTGGTTTCTGGAGGGCAAAGAGGTCCCTCCCTTTTCTCTCTCTTTCTCTCACACACGCTCACACACACGCTCTCTCTCTTAAAGACACAGCATCTCTCGGCGTCCTCAACCCCTCCTCCTCCTGTCAAGATGAAAGTAAGGTGGAAATCTCTTAGTACTGAAAAGCAGACAGTTGTCAAATCACAAACTGAACCGGAGACGGCACAAATTATTAACTCCTGCCTGCCCACTGAGTTCTTTCTGGCTATCATTGGTTACAAACCGTGATTTGTGGATTGACTCTGGGGTTAAAACTGAGTTATTAACTCTTGTCTGTTCTCATGCGTCTCATCTCTCACTACTCCTTTCCTTTTCTGGAAGTCGCACCCACCCATCCTATTGCCTGAGGTCATTGCTGTCCCACCCCAAAAGCAAGTCTTGGCACATTCCAGAACACACGGCAGGGGCTGCCAGCAGCCCCCTCAATACACACCCTCTGTTCACGTTACCTGCAAAGATCCAGCAGGTGAGGTCTGTTCCTAAGCTGAGATCTTCCCCACTCACTGCGGTGAGTTCTGAATTCCCATGTGTGCACGCAATTCACATTGCGCCACTTCCAAAATGCCCACCAGCACACCCACTCGATGGGCGCGAGCCAGCCATTGTGCCATGCAGTGGGTTGGAGAGGAAGATGTTGAGTTGCACCAGAGCCACTGCTGGGAGGTAACTGATTATATATAATCTGTTCTATGTAATCAGATTACAAAAGTAATTATGGCTTAACTAGATTACGTATGAAAAAATATGTAATTAGGCTAATATTGTCCTGAGCAAACTTATTAGATCTGCTATAAATACCATTTTACAACTCACCAGGTATGCACAATTATGCATACCTGCCATTACAGGGGAAGGCCAGTTCAAGTTATAGTAAGTGCTTAGATCAATAATAAGTTATCAAACGAGTTTTCTTCACTAGGTCTTTCGTAGAGATTGGTTTCTTTGTTCACGTTTGTGTATGATCAGGAAGACTTTTTGTGTGGGTAGGTTGCCTCCGACAATTATTGTTAAATAATTCCATTCATTTTTTTATTTCACTGACTCATCTGAACAGTTAATTTCCTTTCACCACAAAATATTTACTGCATACTGCAAAGTACAAATGTTGATACATCTTTTTCTGTAATTAAAGTTAAAATTCAAATGAAGCACTTATGTATTAGAATAACATACAATTAAACCGAGCTGGAAACAAACAAAATGACTTTTTGGTTATTATTATTTTTTACATGTTAATACACTTTATTGTAATATAATCTATAATAGTTATAGATTATATCATAAATTATTGCACTTATTAGTACATGGATTTATCATGTATGAGTTTGTCGGACTTAATTTTTAGTTGTTTAAATATCCACGCTGTCAGTTAACTGTGACTGAAGCAGAAAATTGATTTTCTTGACTGCACATTAACACACACACACAGGAACATGGTTAATATTGTTAATATTCTTTGATTGGACTGATTCTTGTGTAACTTTTTTCGATAAAGACTTATCGAAGAATCTAACGGATTATTTTGTGTTTAGATAAATAATCACAGTGGCTCATCTGCTTTGTCTCCTCACCTACCTCCTCATCATGCTTAGTTGTCAGTTCTTATGCTGCCAATGAACCAGCACATTCAAACCTCTGATTGTCATCACTGAACTTCATGCTTCCGTCACTTCAGCCTTTCAACACTTTGACAAAAAACAAAAACAAAAAACCAAACATTTGTAGCCTGGCTCATTTGACAGCGAGCCTGGCGGGTTTATCAGCCACGCTTGTTTTGAAGCTGACTGAGGTCAGACTCGGTCAGCTAGTGACTGGTGCCAAACACTCAGGAGAAACCCAAGCTCAATTCTAAAAGATGAACTCATTAAAAAGATGCGTCCACTTCATATCGATGTCCACACATCCTCATAGTCGATGTCATCAATTACATCGACAAGTCGGGACAGCACAAGTAAAAACCTAATAAAGCAAACACTTCTCCGGCATTAATGAGCAAACTCGTTCAATGCGGCAGGTCATGGATTTATAAACGGCAGCAACAAAAGAAACCAACACTTGCAAGCAGCAAAAAGGAGTGTATTTGTGCGAGTGTATTGTCAAGGGGTAATTCTGATTCGAGGAGCTATATATGATGAATGCAAAATGTTTGTCCTGTGCGTTTAGAAAGGCAGCGATATATTTATGGAACGCAAATGTTGATGTCGCATCATTTCTACATGTGACTTTAAGATTGTCGGACATCATAAACCCCTCAATAATTTAAATGCATTGTGTACGACTGACATCAGTCCCCGACTTCTGCACATTACAAATCATCAAAACAAACAACTACATGTGCTATAAAATGACTTTGCAAGACAGTTTGCAGATTATGCTGTAGTCCAGGAACTCTAGTGGATTTATGGTGTCTACATTTTTTACGTTTGCGTGCCTTTGTGCAGCTGCAGCGACACATTGTCTGCCTAGAGGGCACTGTAGAGCACTGTCCCTGCAATGATTGAGCATGTGTGTGAGCGAGAGGAATGGGAGGGCAGACCAGAGTGGGGGCAGACAGTTTTACGGCATTTTGCCGTTCAGACCAGCATAGGGTGGTCCACTTCACTCCCAGACACCACACGTCTGATCTGCCTTTCTCATTACTGTGTGAATGACGCTATTTGTTATTTCTGACAGAGGAGATTATCATAAGAACTCACAATATAGGAGTTAATAAAGTAAAACAATACAATGATTAAGTGTAACATTAGGGTCTCCTGGTGAATATTTTGATCCCCCTCTTGCTGCCAAAACAGCCCTGACACGTTGAGAAATGGACTCTACTAGAGCCCTGAAGGTGGGCTGTGAAATCTGGCATCTTGATGCTATGGCAGCAAATCCGTAAGGCCTTTAGGCTACGAGGTAAGACTTTATAATGGATTTATTAGGACTTGTTTGCCCAGTTGGCCACAAATGGCCAACTGGGTTGAGATGTTGGAATTTCGAAGGCCAAATCAACACCTCAAACTCACTCCGACTGCGTCCTGAAACGTTCTTATTGCGGGGTGTTTTATCCTACAGTGAAAGAGACTGCAGCTGTCAGGGATGGCCTGCAGCTGTGCATCCATATGCGAAACTAATTGTGATGCTCTGTGTAGTGACTCCTGTCTATCAGAACCAGCTTCCACCTCTTCAGTGACTTGACCTCCAGTAGCTTGTCTGCTAGATAAGAGAAGACGCACATAGTCCAAATTGCTTGGGGTCAACAGTGAGGTTTCTACAGTCAGTGATGATTTGTGGAACCACATCACCGGCTGGTGTTGCTGTGTTTAATCAAGTCCCAAAATCAACCCAGCTGTCTACCAGGACGTTTTCAAGCATGTCACCCTCCCCTCCCCTCGCAAAGATGCTGAAAAAAAAATGTCCCAGCTGGACCTAGAATCTGCCAAAAGTACAAAAACTGGTCTACTGACCGTCATGCTGGAACTATGTTTGGTTGTCCAGGAAATTGCCCTGACCTGAACACTTACAGGTGACCGTACCTGGCTTTGTCAAGATGAGGGAACACCTGAACTAATAATGCAGACAAGATGAAGGACACTAATAAAACAGCCTGGGGGCTCTATAATACCTCAGCAGCACCAAAGGGCTGATCACTTACATGCAGCTGCGCACAATTGAGCCTAGAGGAAGCATTGACTATACTGTATATTAGCATTTTGACATACTTTTCAGTAGATCCACCTTTCTGGAATAAAAATATACCTATTTTTTTGCCTTATTTTCATCTTTTACTAAAGTCAAAGGTGATGTAATGGAAAGACAACGAGTGTTATGTAGTTCTGATGAGACAGTGGTCACGTTAGGCCTGATCACTGTATGACTGGGATTGGGAACCCTCAGGGAACACTTATTTCCTAACAAGGCTCATTTTCACAGCTCAGGATTTCAGCACTGGGTCTGGAGGACATCTGTTTGCCCAAATCAGAGAACACACCAGATCGAGAGAAAGACAAACGCGGGCTCATTTTCGTAGCTATTAACGACGCCATCATTAATGCTGACTTCATTGGATTCCCCTTGAGTAAACGTGGCCTTGTCGGTGATTTCCAGGTTTCGTCAAGTGTCCCTAGGTGAGGTGCTAAGTTTCTCTGCAGCTTCTTTTATTTATGTAGTTCACCATCGTTAAATACCCGAACCAGAAGCCGGACGAAGCCTCTTAAACGACCGGTGCCAATTTAAGTTTGGGACGGCCATTCGAAAGCTCATTGAATGTGGGAATGCAGTTGTGCTTATACCAAATAAATAAATGAATAAATAAATAAATAAAATGAAATTAAATTCTGGGAAAGAAAAAGGGAACACTTACCGTTTCAAAAACCAGCCCCATTTTCACCCTGCACGCTTGTTATGTCTCCCAAATTAACCAGAAGCTTTTTTTTTTTTTTTTTTTTTTTGTCAGTGAGCGGGAACATTCTGTCGCTGCGGTTCCGCGCTGATGGTCGGAGGTTAAGTGCGCTCACATACCTACTGGCTGTCCAGACATGCTATATTTTCTCTCTCCCTCTCTCTCTTGGTTTGGTAGACTTTCAGTCGAGTCTTTGAAGCTCAAACGTCCAGAGTTAGTTAACTCAGCTCGACTCTCCTGTTGCCAGGGCCGTAGCGCAGATTTACAAAGACTCGGGCAAGCCTGAACAAGACACCAAAAAAAAAAAAAAAAAAAAAAACAAACAAACAGATCCAAATAATTAATGTTAGGGCTTCATAATGAGCCCCAACTCACACTTATTAGTCTTAGCCATCATGCTCACAATACCACAGATTTCAGACTATATATATACGATCAAATAAACTGGAACACAAATAGCCACATTTATCTCCACTGCAGCAAAAATTATTTTTCAAATAACCTTCAAAATATTTGTAGTAAGGCTTTAACTTAACCATAATTAAGTCCGCATCTTAATATCGAATTTTCATCTTTAGGCTTATTCTTGTTGAGTTGGTTCTTTTGTTTTTATTTTTGCCATCAATGCCTTAAATGATCATAATTCAGAATTTGTTTCAAAGTTAATGTTTTATTTTTATATTCTTAAAAGATAATACAGCCAATTTGTATTTTACAACTTTTCTTTTTAGTTGTTTATTTCCATTTCTGGTGTCTTATTTTGAATGTTTACTTAGTTTTACATTTTATTCTAATTGATTCGTAATATTCACAGTACATTATGGGCTAACAAAGCAACACCATCATGATCCTGAAGCCACCACAACAAACACATTTTATAATGCTCAATTCTTTCCCTAAAGAGAAGCATATGCATTTACATTCACAAATAAGTTTTATTTCAATTTTTTTTATACATTATAACCATTTCCAACACATTTTATATTATAATAAAATGACTCTTCTTGTCATTTACATAAAATCAAAAATTTGTATATTAAGACTGCAAAATAGTACTCATGTAATTTTTGTTTATAGCTTTGTACACATACAGGTGAATATGCATCCATTTACTTTTAAAGAATGCACATTTCAGAGGGCAGGGCAGAAGGGTAGAAAGGGCAGCCATAAGCAAAGAGAGAATACAAGAGCTCTAGCAAGACAGCGGGCTAGCAGGTAACACCACCAAGTGACCGAAATTGACCTGGGTGAAAATCTCCAGTCAGACCCCTTGTACCTTTTGACAGATCTCACGATACATTGCGAGGCTGTGTTCTTGTCGCTTATAAACCAAAGTTGCAAGAAAAAAAAGGGTGTATTTAAGTAGCATTTTAACCCAAGTCTTTTCCACAAGCAAGCCTTTAAACAAGTCTTGTCCCAAGTTGAAACTTGCAGCGTCACATGTAGCAGTACGTTGGAAAATTAATCAAACACACTTTGGGTAGAAAGTATTCAATAAAGAGGAAAAAAAGAAAACAAAAACGGTCATTCATTGCAATTGAAAACTTGCGCCATCATAGCAGAAACTGAGGCTTGATTAAAAACGTCAGCTCATCCCTGTCATGATCTTAAGTACACAAAGTCATTAGAAATTTGAGCCTTGCTATATCAACTCACGAAAACGCCTTTGTCCTAATTTTTGTAATGTCTAGATAGACATCCTGGCAAATACCAAGCTTCTGGAGGACATACCTCATCCCTTGTGAGACATGCAAGAGAAGTAAAAGAAATATGAATGGTGACAAAAAGAGTATAAAAAAACTCCACACTGTTGGAGTGTCAATTATTGAAAGAAAATTAGATTACCAAATTACACTGATTTGGTGCTCACAAATTTAAAGACAACCAGCAAAAGAAATAGTCATGAGTACCCTCTTTGGTTTGGGAAAGTGTTCACAGAATGATCCTTTAAAAGATTGCTTGCATGCCAAAAAAGTGAAAATGACTCCCATGGGTGCCCGTTTTGCTTGCAATGCACTCTTATTGATTATTAAACTGAAGGTGATTCTAAGATCTGCAAGAAACCGCTATCAACTAAATGTGAGGGGTTTGGGGGGGTTGAACCATAATTGAGGCATTTTCCCATCACTTAGCAAATATAAAGTCTGCAAGATGATTGCAGGTTACATTTCCTTTAAACTTTCAGTACAACATGTTTCCTTCTTTTACAGCAGGTTAATAAAATACAGCCCCACAAGCCACCATAGAAAAGATTAATACAGAATATTCAACAATACAAAAGAAGTTTGCCACTGGAAATTCTGATGACACTACGGCAGCCCTTCAGTGCTTTACATCCTCTGCAGCGGTGTGACAACGTGAACGGAGGCTGCTCTTGACACCACCATGGTGAAGCTGTGGTCTTACAGTACAATAATGACTCAACAGGCTCTGCTGCTGTTGACGAAATAAACAAAGGGAAGCTACAAATGTTTTACCCAAGAGAAAAGATGGACAATAAAGAAAAAAAAAAGTAAAAAAAAAAAAAAAATAGTGCCAGCATGTGTGGTGGATTGTGTACATGAATGCAGAGACCCCAGTAATGTGTCAGATCAGGGACAGACAAGGTTGTTTTTTTTCTTCTTTCTTTTGTGTGGAGGTTGCTTGATCACTCGGTGGTGCGAGTGGGAGTACTGGGCTGGTGGAGGTTCATGGTTTTGCACAACCATCCGGCAAAGTCCACTTCCTCCACTTCCGATCGCTTGATAAATGTGTGATTCTGAAAACAAAGAGAAACTTTGGTTTGCAACATTGACTTTTACCCAGAGATCAAAAAGAACAGGTTAGCAAAGATTGCGTACACACCATCAACATCTTCAGGTCTGCCCTCTCGGCTGGGTTTTTAATCAAGCTGCAGGTACAAAAAGAATGTTGACATTTATAAATGTTCTTGTTTTGGACCACAATTCTCCATAACCATTGAACCCTTTCACATTTTCCTCCCATGACAACCACAAACGTTATATTTCATTCCGATTTTAAGAAATGCACTAACAAAGTTGTACATAATTGTGAAGTTGACACTAAATGATAAGTCAGGAAACCATGATAACTGTAAGAACTGCAGAAATATGCAGGTGGACGAATCTGTTGGCAGAACAATATTTATTCATATTACACATCTACCCTTGGATGGAGCTAAATACACAATCATTCTGAAAAAAAAAAAAGTTAGTAGATGTAAATTACTCTAGACTGATAGGATTCTTCACTTTCAAACAGGATTAGTCTAGACATACAGCCGGATCCACAATGGAATGACTTAGGTCAACTTGTGTGTGTAATGTGGAATGGTTTAGGTCAACTGCGCTTGTCTGTTAAAACAACCAAGTCAAATTCAAGACATAAATCTACTTGACCTCAAAATTGAAGTTTCTGGCTATAATGTGACAAAATATTAATAATTTTAAGGGGCACAACAACTTTTACAAGGCACCACATCGCCAGACTATCTACGTAATGCAACATTTTCAGTCACCATGTGGAAAAATTTAATTAGAAACGAATGACAATTTTCCACCCAAACACAAGTGTCCAAATAAATAGTACTCCTCATTCTCTGGCGCTCACCATTTTGTCACGAAGTCCTGGAAGTCACTGCTGAAGACACCCTGTGGTAGCTTAGGCGGTGGCTGTGGAAAAAAAATCATCATCAGAAGAACAGCTGAAAAAAAATAAAAATAATATAGCGGCTAAATCGATCAGTTATTTTTCAGACCTCATTCACAATGTAGTCCAACAGCTCAAAGATGGCCATGGCAGGTCTACTGTCCATCCCATGTCCTGTGGAGGAAACAAAAATAATGATTATGACCTCTTGGGATTTGTGTAAAATCACAAGGAGAACTTTAGTTTAAAATGTTTGATTTCATACCGCTCACAGGCCTGCCCGGGGGTCTCGGTCTAGCCATGTTGGAACGAGGCTCTCCCTCTGCCCCGTCCATAATGGAGCGTCCAAAGATGGCTTCCAGTTCCCTGGCGTCTGGTGGGGGTATAGGGTAGCGGCCGATCGCCAGCTCCACCAGGGACAGGCCCATACTCCACACGTCAGACTGAACCGAGTAGTGGGTGCCCTGCAGTCTCTCCGGCTGTTGAGAAACGCACAACTACGTCAGAGGGACCAGGTACAGCCAAGATGCCAGGGGAATGCAACAGGGTTGGGCAAGGGGCTGGGGAGAGGCAGGAAGCAGAGGAGAAGAGAGGGGAAGGGGGAGTATGAGGGGATAGCGAGGCAAGAATGGGTGGGGTGTGATTTGGAAAAGAAGACAAAGAGAGAGGGTTTGGCAGGAAGGGAAAAACAGTTTTACAATGTTCGAGTTGGACGGGTGTCCAAACTCAGGTGTGTGACGAAAGTGACAGCCAAAGGCCAACGACCTGTACCATCCATGATGCTGCTCAGGAACAATTTTGTGCTTGGAAACTCCAAGTCCACTGGGACGCTTGACCCCAGGCATCTCAGACTGAGGGGGTAGGAGGACAAGAAAGAGCAAGCACTCGCTCGAGCTCTTTCCTAGGCACAGCCCTCGTGTCTTGGCAAGGGGGGAGTGAGGGGAAGGCAGAGGGCGGGTCTGGCTGAGCAAGAGCCGTGAGAGAGGAATGGAGAGGGAAAGTGGGGATAGGGCCAGAGGAAAAAAGGGGTGGGGGCGCAGGCGTGCAGAGCTGACTCACCGACATGTAGGAGCGCGTTCCAACAAAGGAGTTGGCCATGGAATCTATGAGCTGGCCGCTCACACCAAAGTCACACAGCTTGATCTCCCCACGGGAGTTGACCAGGATGTTGGAGGGCTTCACGTCTGCGGCAGAAGGGACAGACAAACAAACACATCTACATTACATATTCAGGGTTGCGACGAGTGCTGCGCACAATACACCAAAGAAGCAAAGTTACACAAATACGGATTACTGCTTTGTTGTCATATTATAGAACACCTTAAAGCTTTTAGACAGTTTTTTTTTTTTTTTCCAAAGTACATCGAGTGCCTCGCAAAAGTTTTTATACCCCTTGGCTCCTCCCCCCTACTTTACTGAGGTTTTGGGTGATAGAGAAGCACAAAGTACAACATACTTGTCAAGTAGAAGGAAAATTACATTCTGCTTTCAACATTTTCTAAAAGCAAAATCTACTCATCTGCTCGGATACCCAGAAGTAAAGTTTCTGTAAACAATATTACCCTTAAAAAAAAAAAAAAGGAGGGGGAGGGGGTGCTGGGGGGCTGGTTGAGACCAATGCACCACACTGAAGCCTTTTGTCATTCACTCTTTGGTAGAAAGAGAAACAAGAAAAAACAAATCGTGGAAATAAATTGAAATGATCACTCGTTTTAAATTTTGTGATCAACTGATTTATTGCCACAGGCTTACTGCATATAAATTAAACCGTGACTGGATGTTTAAATGAACAAATTTGGCAAGGAGAGCAGAAATCAAGAATTTCTGCTAAAGGCCTAAAGTAACTCCAGAAGAGCTACGGAGATCAACGGCTCGGTTCAAGGAAATTGTTTACAGGAACACTAATAGTCTTGCATTCCATAAATCTGTAAGTGTAGCATCATTGAGTCAAATGTATAAGAAGTGTTTAAAGTTCGCTACAAGCCATGTAAGGAACACAGACGAAAGAAACAGGGCAAAAGCCTCAGTCGCTGGATGCAACATCTGCAGCTGTAACTGTAGTCAACAGCGGACCTACAATGTTTTGACTCAGGTCAGAGATGAAATTTAAGGACCATTGACACACATTTCCTTCCACTTCACAATTAGACACTACTTTGTGTTGGTCTATCACCTGATGCCAAATAAAACGTATTAAAAGCTTTTTGGTTTTCTTATGCAAGAAGTGGAAAGGTTCATGGAAAGGAGTAGCTGTACATGAGCACACTGGTATTGTGCATAAGCAGTGGTTTCTGATGGAGAGAAAACAGAACAAGTGAAAATTCTCGACACACCCACACAAAGCAGGTTGGCCAGTTGAGCGGCAGATGGCTCAACCTTCACACCAAATGTCACACAAGCCCTGTTAAAAGTCTACACTGAAATACAGCCTGCAAAATAATGGTGCCTTTTAGTAGAGGGCACGGGACATGTGAGCAACGACTGAGAGAGAGGTGGCATGAAGAAGCAGGAGAACGATGGAGGGAGACAGGCAGGGAGGGTCAACAGGGCGCGTCTGCTCTCTAATCACATCCGAGAGGCTGTAATTACCGCCTGAGCTCACAGACAACTCCATCCTGGAGTACCACCGACCCTGAAGTCAGAGGAAAAACTTCACTGCAGTCAAAATGTGCATCTTGGCATTAACTCACAATAGGACAGCCGTGATTTCTCACTGGGGCAACGTGGAAGCAGCCCTGGTTTTGCACCATAAATCTAAATCTATCACAAACTGCTCACATTCCCAGATAAGACAATGTGGTGGGAGTAATAAGCGTCTCGGAAACATTTAAGCGGGGTGTAAACACTTTTCCTCGTCTGAATCTGGGTCTTTGTCACCAGCAATGAGAGTTAAAAGCCTGGACATCAGATTTCTGAACAAAATCTGACTTAAATAATTAAGAGAGCGCTAGTTGTGATAGATTTTGTCAAAAAATTTAAGTAGGGCTGAGTGTTACGAGGGAATGACACCGACCACAGGAACAGGGGGAAAAATGGGTGACAAAATGTGTTCAGGAATCACAGCAAATGATTAAAAAGAAGTGGCTTGGGTAAAGACCTAAAACAAGCAGAAACAACAGCAAAAAAAAAAGCAGATGAGATTTCTTTTGTTTTCCCAATTTGTGTGAAGTCTTGCTACATTTGAGTTGTCGGTCACAGCTTGGAGCCGGGAAGGGCGACACCACTGCAAAAACAAAATCCTGCAAAGTATTTTTAGTCTAGTTTCTTGTGAAAAATGGATTGGTCCACTTGAAATAAGCCAAAACTTATTTTGGCTAACAAGCAGCATGATGCAGCTTGATGCATCATGCTGCAACAAGCTGCAGCACGATGCAGGAGCTTCTAAGTCAACAATTCCTTAATACTGATGAAAAAGTACTAATTACTTGTGAAATAATTTGCCAGAGGAATAAGACATTTTAACTTAAATGGGAAAAATGTCCTGTTTCTCTGGCAGATTATTTAGGTTAAACCAGTACTTTTTAATCAATATTATTGAATTATTGGGTGAAAACAAGCTCTTGCTAAAAAGTTACCTATAAGTTGGTTTTGTCTTGTTGCACTAGAAACTAGACCAAAAATACTTGGTAAGACTTTGTGTTTTTGGAGTTAAACTTGAGCGTTCAAACAGTGGGATTTGCCATTTGTTTTGCTGATCATTTTTACCAATACATGCAGTTCTCCATTTTATACATCCACACAAAACTCAGGATTGTTCGGTAAGCCTTAGTCAGAATCCCAACTTAAGAATCTCTTGTTCTTGAAAGGAAAATGGAAAAAAGGCCTCATTATCTAATAAAGGCAACTTGAGACGACAGATGGATATGAAGAGGTTTTTAAAAGCAGTGCAGAAGGTTGAATCAACACAGATGCTGAACCGTGCATTACCAGCAAACATGTAAGGAATGCATGTTTCCTACGAAGCTAAACAAGCTGGAGGAAGAGTGAAACCAGACAAGCCGGTGTATACAATTACAATGTTCCAACTGGTCCCGTCTCACATTGAGGCTCTTCCATAGAAACAAGGCCGTACCTGTTAGATCACATCTTTAACAATATGATCAACAAATGTTTACTCCGCATCCTGTGAACGTTCAGAAGCTTCAGTCGTCCAACCTGAAAACTGTGTTTAGAAGACACTGATTTTTTGAGTATTGTGGAATCTGATTTTAAAATAAATCAAAATTCTTAACACAATAGATACCCATAAGATAGTTGCCCAACCCTACTTCTTAGTGATCTGTACAGAAGTTTGCATCAGAAGCTCTTAAAGTTTTTGACATCATCTACTTATCAGGTATCAAATCTAGACTGGACATTTGATTATATTTGGGACTATTTTTTGTGGAAATAAATGGTTATAAAAACACTTTTTGCAGGGTTACTACAATTTTCAGTAGATTCATCTTTTTAGTACAATTGCATTTAAAAATTATATAAACTTATTTGGCAAGTTATCAAAGGAAAAATAATTTTGTTAACTGAACTTTGAGTGTTTTGGCTCCAGCACGAGACTCAAGTGAATTCCAGCAACTACACACCAATTCCCTCTAACAGTGTGTAGTAAATATACTTTCCCATGAAGGAGGGGGAAAAAAAAGACAGCAGTAGATGAAGTCACGAAAATGCTTTGACTTTGACCGTTTATGTTTGTAGTTTTGTCAAACAGCAACACAGCTTGACCTGTTCAGACAAAACTAGGAATGAAGCAATTTCTTAAAACAAAGACGAATAAAATGAATGAAAGAAGCAATAAAAACAGCATATTGCACAAATTTAGCAAGTTACTGAATGTAATTAAAATCTACAGAAAATCACAGAATAATTGGTCTAAAATGCAACAATTAAACTTAACACAGAGAATCCGCAGAAACCCTATTTTGTATACAAACAGCAGAGCTAAATAATTATGCTCTTCATCCCTTTAATTATTCATGTACTTACAACTGCACATAAAGCATTGCCTCCTATTTCTTGTTTAGTCGTCGCTCATTGAACTTCCTCTAACTTTTGCAATGACAAGTGTGCTGTGGTGCAACAACTTCACTTCTCAAAAACCTTGAAGCCTTGAAAGAAACTCTGACAGTGTGGATTGCGAATATTTTAAAAGTTAACCAAATCTGTGACCCAGAAAGCACCATAAGTAAATCAAGGTTGGTGTGAGACCAATGCATGCTTAGTAATTGCTGACAGTTTTCTAAATAAAGCAAAATTTGTTATTGTGAAAACAGTCTGATTGTGGCAGCCTTTAATCAGTCTTCATAATCAAATGTCATTCTGCTGTTAAACTGTAGGGTGTGTCTTTACCTCTGTGCATGATCTGATGCTTCTCTCGCAGATAAGCTAATCCCCTTAGCACCTGTAAGTAAGAGATTAAGCACTATTAAAGTACATATTTGCAACATATATATTTTTTTTTCAGAGAGAATTAAGATGTCCCGATCTTTTCCCAGATATCCGCTCAGAATCAAGTTCAAGGCTATAAAAACAAAAGTAAATTTCATTTTCAAATTTAGCTTCAAATGATTAAAAAAAAGAAAAGCACAAAAAAAAAATCTGTGAATAGGCATCTTCTACCTATTCACAGGTAGAACCCAACTTTGAGTCACATTCCACAATAATATCTAGGAACTGCAAATAGGCAGCATAAACATCCTGCAAAAGTTTTAATTCATTGCTAATGCTGAATGTTAGATGCTGAGTACTTGCAAGTTAAAAACTTAAAAGTATAATAAAGACTAATAAAAGAAAAAAAATGGACTCCAAATACAATACATACAGCTATGCTAACTTTTCCCAGGATTTCTTCAGGGATTCTTCTGGCTTCCTTAAGAACCTGGTCCAACGAGCCACCATCCTGTTGAGAAAACATTTATATTTAGACAAAACAAAAAAAATATAATAAAAATCATTTATAGACACATGCATGTAAAAACACACCTGTGTTTCCCATTAATCAAAAGAATGAACTGATTTAACAAGGAGCATGTCTAAATGACCAGACTGGTTGCAAATAGTGATTATTTTAATAATCGTTTGTTCTGCTAATTAATTGGATAAAAAAAGGCAGTCTGATGATTTTTCACTTAACCATTTTTAGTATAATATTAGAAATGCATTGCAATTCCTTTTTTAAATAAGAAAAACTATTATATCCCAAAACAGAACAATAGCATTTGATCATTTGTATCAAAGGATGCAAATGATCTGCAGCTAAAAAAATAAATACTTCTAACTGTGAGTGTATTGATCTTCCAGCAAAGATCAGGGAAGATCAAAACAGTTAATTGTTAACTGTATACTCCAGTTAACAATTATTAAATTTCTAAAATAGTTGAAGATCATTTAAATAATGGATTCATCCCAATTAATAATTGCTACCCAGGTCTGGTGCTTTTTATGTTTCAGGAAACACAGATTAGGTCACATTTAAAGCATATGCAAACTCAAACATGATTTAACTTTGACACATGATCAGCTTTCCAGAGGAACTCAAACTCGCCCTCCAGTATTTTCTCAATACACTAATCATGTTTTTCTCATAATAATTGGTCATCGTCCAAAGTTTCTAAAATGTATAACTTGACTCAACAGACGAAAGACTTAATCTTGTCTACTTTTATTCACCTCCAGTTTATTTTACATCAATTTATCAGATTATCAGAAAACCAGCAGTGGATCGATTTGTGATTGTGTGAAAACAAAATGGACAAATATTGAAACTGCATAACAGTAATTTCATTTTGTCACTGGCAAGACGACAAAATGTTACGGAACATTACACAAAGAGACCAAACTCGATATGACTTCACTTTGGCATGTTGACTGAGATAAAAGGTGTTCATTCATTCATTAAGCTCAGGAGATAACTATCAGTGAGAGTCTCTCACCATGTGCTCCATGCAGATGCTGATCTCTCCATCACTGTAAAAAGCTCCGTAGAAGCCCACAATGTAGGGAGAGTTGCACTCATGCAGCACCTGCAGCTCTCGGATGATCTGGTTTCTGATGGCGGGCTTGATTTCCAGGTGAATTAACTGGGAAGAGAGAAGTTGAAAGCTCCTGCTGATGTTGAAGCAACAACCTTGAACAGACGGAGGACATGTCGCCTTAAACTCTAACACTATGCAGATTTAATGACCCGAAAAGACACGGATCACTTCTCATACAACTGGAATGCCTTGCTGTATTAAAAACACACTACACTTTCAAGTTGCGACCTAACGGTTCTGGACTTTTTCCTTAGAAATTATAACAGCAGCTTCAGAATTTGAACCAGGGCCTCCGCAGGTTCAGATTCAACACTTATTAAAGATCATTGTGATTTAAATTTGTGGCATGCACAATTTACAGAAACAAAAGACATGCTTAATTCCACTTGTCAAATAGGTTCTATTTAACCGAAGTGAGAAAATTACAACTTTAGCAACTAAAGCCGATGTCTTATATGAAACACCTTAATAATGAAGGAGCAAGTATTTAGCTTGTTTTGATTAATAAAATCAAAGCTTGATTTTACTTTTTTATTTACTTAAATGCAAAAGGTTAATTTAACTTCTTCAAATGTTTTCTAGGTAGTTTGAATATCTGAAATAAATCAGATTTATTTATTCGAAGTGATGAACAAACAGACCTTCACATTTGTAGCGTAACCAAATGTGGTCATAGATCTTGCATGGAAAATGTGAGGATTTCAGAATTTTAAATATTAACACTTAAGATTATTGGAAAACAAAACAAAACAAAAAACTGTGAAACCCCCACAAACTTTGGTTTATCAATTTAACTTAACCTAGTTTCCAGTATTTTCTGATAATGAGGCACTGGTGGCAAGTAACCCCAACTCAGATCTTTTGCATAATTTGCAATTCATTTACTCAGAAAAATACCATTTAAGATTTACGTGATAGGCTATTCAGCTAAACAGAGTTAAATCCTAAAAGTTAATAGGAATGCTGCTGCGCAAAGTTCAGCAGATAACATTTCCAGGCTCTCATTGACCTCAGACCTATTTTTCCCTAAGGAGTGAACATTCTTTGATTCTGGTAGTAGATTTGATCCCAACATTAAAAAAATAAATAAAAAATTATCACCATGTTCGTGTCAAAGGATGCGTCACTAAACTTTACCTGATTCTTATCGAACTCGACTTGAAAACTGTTTAACCACGAAAGAATGAGGACGAAAACACAAAACTAAATAAACAGAAAAAAACAACCTCTCTGCTTCACCTGATGCAAAAAACAAAAAACAAAAAAAGAAAATCTTCAGCATTCACCTTTCGAGCCATGACCAAATGAGAAGGTTTGTGTTGGACCTTGTTGACCACTCCTCCGTTTCCTGCCCCCAACTCGCATATTGGATCAAAATCTTCATCCTTCAGCTCACCGACCTGAGCCTTCTGGGTGAGGAAGGCCTCCAGGCGTTTCCTCTGTTGTTCGTCGAGGTCCAGCTCACCCAGCTTCTTCTGTAAGGCCTCAAGGTTGGCTCTTAGTGGAGAACATGCAAGCAGGAAGGACAACAGTTCATACAGGAAGTACTACTATGGAGAAAATACATTTCTTTTACAGGGAATTGCATGGAAACTGGACTGTTTTACTCTGCCATTAAAAACTGGGAAACTCAAAACAGAAACAGGATTCCACAATTTATCCATTTTTATTTTTTATGACATAGTAACATAAATGTTGGTGGTTTTACATTGCTACCCCTGTACAAATGAACCAAGCATCAACAGATATGTAGAACAGGGTCATACAATAGAGCAGTAGGAAGCATTTGTTCGCCAGCAGTTGATTGAAACTCAACATAAATGTACTTACTCAGATGCAGCATCGATGGTGTTTGAGGTGGCCTGTCCCTCCCCAATGGGCGTAATGTTCAGTGGAACGGGTCTTCTTTTAGGAGCCATTTCTATTTTAACTAAACTAAACTCGGTAAAAAAATAAATAAAAATACAACAGAGCAACGAGGCGGCTGATCTAACCTTGCCCCTAATCAGAGATCTACCTGGGAGGGGGGAAAAGCAACAGGATTCGCTCTAAGTGGCTAGTGACTTGGCTAGTTAACGTTAGCAGAGTTAATGCACTTTTCGGAGCATGTCAGTTCGCCAAACCGACAAACCGAGTCATACCGATATGCCCTTCAAAAGTCGGCTGGTTTCCGGTCTCGTCTAAAGGTTTAAAACGCGACAGGTTTGTTTTCGTCGGCTTCTTGTCCGTAATCTACCTGCTGCTATTAGCCATTAGCCACCTAGCCTCTACTAGCTAGCACCAGTTCCAGTGAAAATCGTGCTCTGCGCCTGCGAGCTGAAATGAGCAGCAAGTCCTCCTCTCTGAGCTTCCGTCCAACCGCGGCAGGATACGGACACCCCGGGGTCTCCGCTAGCACTCCCTCGGTGTTTAAACTCAGGGGTGCGGGGCTCTGAAACGCACAGTTGTTCAACGCGCTGACCGCTGGTGCCTCAATACAGGAAGCGGCAGCAGTGAGTCGCCTGCAGCATCAGACCGCGGTGTGTTTGTGACGCCCACTGGGAGAGTCCCGCATAAATAGCGCGAACATCCTGTCAGGCAAGTTCAAAGGACACGCGAGAAAACCCCCGTGGTGGATTTGGACGGACATGCGCGGCTTTTGACACTCACCATGAATCGATTCAACAATGTACAAACCGCGTTCACTCGATTCTGTGCTTTCTCGGGCGTTTAACGAAGTGGCTTTGCGTCGGTCGCGAACGAGCCGATTCGAATCGCCGGCTCCTTTGCGTGAGCGATGAAAGTCAGTTCTTTCGTGCGAGCTCTTTTTCTAAAGAGCGACATGACTTCTCCTCACCGTTCAAATATCAAACAAAAGTTATTTAACAAAGCCTAAAGCTGTTTGGATGAACATAAAGTCTACTTCTTCATAGCTCACTAAAGGTTTCAGCGTGAACTCCCCATGCAATGCAAAAAAGGTTGAATCACAACAAAGTAAGCGATGGCCCTGTGATCAGACTTTACACAATTTAAAGGCAAAACTTAGATGGTGACATCTGGAACAACCCCAACATGTAGAATGTGCAGAAAAAGAAAACAAATGCCATGTACATAAACCGAATCGACATTTAAGCTCTTTGTTGGTTTAAATTCAGGTCAAACGCCCACACTCTTATGTTTTTTGTTTTGTTTTCTTTTTTACTGTTGGCTGTCTGTACTTCAGTCTGCTGATGGTTAAGACTTGTGCTTCTTTTTTTGGATCAGTGAAAAAGGATTAGAGTTTGTCCTTTCGCACCAAATCATTGTATCATAATTTGCCCTTATGTGTTAACGTGATGTGTTAACAGCACACATTGTGTACCTTGAGGCAAATCAGAAGGACTTTCAATTATATGCATCTTAACAATGACCTTAGTGTCTTTAACCTAGTCCAGAAGCAGGGACTGTGCAAAATTAGGTAACTCTGAGTCATCTAAAGAGTCCAAGACATGCACATACCATAGTTAAATCTCACTGCACTTAGTTATGACGAGTCGTGTTCCATTATAAATATTTACTGATTTGATATCACATAAGCTGAGTAAAAACAAAATGCTGTTTTCATCAAGGGAACAAAGTTCTTCTAAAAATATGGATAACCAGCACTAAAACAATAAGGGCATAAATAGGATGTTTCATCTATAGAGATTATAGGGCATCTGGGCCAATCAAAGAAAAGCTTTTAAACCAACCTGCTCCCTTAAACCTAGTAATTGGTTATTGCGCTCTTTGTGGCAACAACTTCCATCGTCCAATGACTGGAGATGAGCTTTTACAACACCATGGATGAATTCTTGGCCCACTCCTCTTTGTAGAGGAGTGGTTTCAAGCATTTTATTTTTGTGTGTGTTTTTTTCTGCCATTCAAATGGCTATTTGATCACTGTCCTGCTACATAACACAAACGGGCTGGAGTTTAAGGTCAGACGTTTTTAGCATCTTCTGCCAGATAACAGAATTCAAGGCTTCATCAAGTCACCCAAGGCCTCATCCAGCAAAACAGCCACAGAAGCTCATACCAACATTGGTATAATGTTCTTTTCCTGAAATACTACGAGTCATAAAACAGATGCAGACAAAAAGTTCTGCTTCGGTCTCATCTGTCCACCAAATGAGGATCACCAAATATTTTTTTGTGTGTGTTTCAGAACTGTGAGACAGGCCTTGGTGTTCTCGTTGGTTGGCAGTGGTTTTGGTCTGGGATCTCTCCCATGGCACCAATTACTGTCGAATTGTGAACCTCACCTTAATGGAGGAGAGTGAGGCCTGCAGCTCTTTAGATGTTCTGTGTTCAAATGTGGCCTTTCTGGATGAGCCACTGGCAGAGGAACCAAGGTCCCAGCTCGATATTTTGATAGCTATTTTAACGTGCAAGCTGTTATTTAGGACAAACACGATTTTGGTCAAATGTTCTAGACTAAAAGTTTTACTGAGTCCGAGGCACAAACAGTAATTTTCAACATCACGTAGCACAGTGTGGAAAAAAAAAAGCCCCAAAAGATGGCTCATTAGTGGCATGACACAAAGTAGTCGGATTGCGGAAAGGATCCGGAATTCCCATCTTTTAGTTGGGACAATTAAGGCACATTACTGCCACCCCGTGGCAACAACAGGAAATTATTTTTTTTACATTGAAACTCCATAAGACAATAATAAACATCTAAAACTACAATTGTAAGTTGTTGTTTTTTTTTTTTTTAAAGATTGGTCTTCTGGAAAAGTATAAATGTTAAAAGATGTAATGTTTCCAATTCAGACTGATATTTAGAATAAAAAAAAAACACCTCAGGTATGTAAATTATTTTTAACTATAACTATCTGTTCTCAGAGGTTATGAAGACCAAAGAGCACAGAGGAACAAAGGTAAGGAGGAACCGAGTGCTCACTAGTTACGGATATCAAAAATACACTCGCGCACATCTCACAATAAAAACCAAACACTTTTTTTTTTAAGAACTGATTTTAATTAATTCAACACATCAATAACAGCTGTTAGAATACGATCGTTTCCAATTTTACAGTTTCATCCTTGACAGGCAACAAACGTGTCCCCACATCTGTGCATTTGGTACAGAGAAAAACAAAACCCACCTTAATCAGTCCTCTCAGTTCTCAGTGGCATTAAGAGTCCAGTGGCGCTGCACTCAGCTTCTTATTGTCTACTTGCCTAGAAGAACTGAAGGCAAATCAAGGCTTAATAAAATATTATTTAATTTTATTGTCTTAATAGGAACATATAAAAAAAAAACATTTACATCATGGATTGTAAGCCTCTGCCTGTGCTACCATATGAATTTTTTAAAAGAATAGATGCCACTACAAAGAAATAAAAAAAAAACAAACAAAAAAAAAAGAGCCTCAGCTGTTTCTAGCTTTCAAACTAAACGCAAACACTCAGTGGCTCAGTTCCACAGTAGCAACCTGCACCACCTAATCTTTGACCAGAAGCCCACGAGAAGTCAGAGATCCCTCACAGCAACAATTAAAAAAAATGTATGTGTGCATAAATTACTGACAGCTTCTAAGTGAAAGTCCGGTATTAAGATTTCTCCATTTTGCCTCAAAGTGCCCTTTATGGATTTATCCTATTCAGTTTTGCAGGCATTGGTTTTGGGTGGCTCACAGAACCATCCCCCCCTTCATGGCCATGTCATATGCTGTTAAGGTAAAGAGGGAAACATGGAAGACGAGGTCATCTAAAGTAATTCCGTTCACCAGACACGCCCCAAACCGTTGTGTAAATCATTGTGAACCTGAGCGAGGGAAAATAAAACCAATCTGTCAAAACTGCAACTCGGAAAACAACCTGCAGAACTGGACCTGGCCGAACCAAACCGCCACACAGTGAAGCAGGACTGCAGCTGCTGAGGGCTCCTTTACTGGATTCCTAGAGTGATAGTATGTGAAAACTGGTTCAAGAGTTCCTGTTTAATACTTGCCACACCAAAGAGTCTTTCAAACTAAGAAAAACATCTGAAAGCGTTACATGAACGCAGATCTCTAGCAACATGAAATATATCTGAAGCCTGCATTTGTAGACTGAGCATCTTTATCTGGGAGGCAGACATCTAATATTTACACTAGTGCAGGTGCAGAGGACATATTAGAGTCTTGAGAATGCAGCAAACAAGATCTGATTTTACTCCAGCTAACAGATGAAACTCATCTCGAATGCTAAGAGCCTGAGACACAGAGAGAGAGAGAGAGAGAGAGAGAGAGAGAGAGAGAGAGAGAGTTGGTGCAGTCGAAAGCCACTGTCAGTTTCAAAGAGGACCCTTTGTGACCCGGTCAGGTAGGTAAGGATTTTATGCAGCAGAAAATGCATTGAAAGCCTTGAATCTTTGATCCAGCTAGTCTTCTATATCTAAAGAAGTAGAGCCACCAACCTTGAAGGTATTTAGTTGCAAACAGCAAAACCCCATGCAAGTGGAGATGCCATTGCAAGTAACAGCTGAAGCTAGATGTTGTGCAACACACCAGGAACAACTGCAAATAAAAAAATAAAATAAAAACATATAAACAAATAAATAATTCCGACCCCAAAATGGCATCAACACTTCAACAGCCTGTTCTGGTAATTTGTTTGATTCAAAACCTTCAGTCTGAATCAACCAAAAGATAAACGCACAAAACTGAAACCTCACTTTGTGACATCCTCTGATAACTTTTCAAATGCCGAAATCAAATTTCCATCACTTAAAAAAAGGCACCAAAACCAGCTTCTGCCAGCGACCATTTCTGCTTTGGACCAGTACCAGTACAGTAATTTTGATGAGTAGCCTGCCCGTGTGATAACTTATTTCAACAAATGCCTAATAGTAGCCGTTTGTTTTTGCAGAGAGGTGTAAGTCTTTGCTTCGTTCAGAAGCTGGTAATCCACACACCTACTACTTTTCAACTGGGTTTCTTTGTTGCTGCAGAGGGAACACAGCTGCACAAAACAAGGGAAATAGAAAAAAAAAAAAAAAGAATAAGGCAAGAAAAAAAAACTCCAGTGTAAAATTGGATTCAGAAATTCTCATTCACCCACTTCTTTCAAACCAACTTCCGGGCCAATTTGCTAAGTGTTAAATGACTGAGGTAGGTTCTCTTGAGGACAATAAAAATTGAAAGCTGAAGACGTATCCAAAATGGATGAATTGCTGAGAGCGAGAGCTTTAAATCAAGCTGTCAAAAGATTCCTAGGGTTCTCAAAAGATTGTTGCCTTGTCCTTCAAACATTTTCATGCCTTATTTTGTTTGTTTTTCATCCAAAAAGCTACAGAGCAGCCTCTGTTTTCAAATTGCCAGTTCCTAAGCAATGTGACAAAAACCAGATGCAAACATTGAACGCCCATGGCTAAAAGAGCCAGTAATTTGGAGTCTATACAAAGAGATGGTGAGAAGGGAGGAGTCTGAAAAGAGAGAGGGAAAACAGACGGAGGTGGAGGTGGGGTGCTCAGTCCAGTCGGTGTCTGTAGCAGAGGCCGGACGGTACGGATACTCACTGCAGGGTGGCGCCGGGGCAAATGGAGTTGCTTCCACAGATGTGCAGAACAAACAGGACTCCTGCTCACTGCAAGCTGATGAGTCACTGACAGAACAAGTTTGAGTATGTGTCTGTTTCGTCTGAAATCGAACTAGAGCTGCTAAAAAGGCTCTGATGCTCGGGAGATGAGAGCGTCCGTGCATCTAGAGGGTT